TTAATTTCTATTTTACAAAAAATACCATCTAAATCTTTTAATTACTCAAAAAATGAACATATTGCTATTAGAGTAATTAACTAGCGGTAATTACAGATCAACTTACGTACAAAAGAGCAGATTTGTATTTAAAAAAAAACAAAAAACAAAAAAACAAGAAAACAAAAAAAACATGCAATCTGACTTTTGGCATTTCAAACATAGGCGGCCATTATTGCACACATCATGATCTTCATTTCTTAATAAGGTTTTGATGCCCATACAACGAAGCGATCGTAGTCACAACATCTTAAGCAGGCAAAGATTATCGATCATCATTCTAAAAATAGGCAAAAAGTTCAAAAAAGAAATCCTAGTTTGGTTGGATACCGGTAATTGTATTTTAACGATATGTACCAGACACAGCTTCTCGATGTGTCTTTATACCTATCAATGAGGTTTTAATGCCGACTTTGGGTCAATGATTGAACTTCTTGCATTTAAAAGGCTGTATACAGCTTATACAACTTATAAGTTGTTCTTTTTGAGCCCGTATTTATCCTGATAATCCTACTGAAGTGATCAACATCCTGGTCTCTTTATTAAAGGTGGATGCGATGAGAAACCAAATCGTTGAAATATATACTTTACAGGGGGTGTAGAGCCTGCACCGCCCCCACCCCCACCACTGTTTGGAAAGTTAAAAATAAAAAGAAGGAAAGAAAAAGATATTATTATTCGCCCAAAATTCCTCAGAGGTTATTTCCGGGCATCTAGAAAACAATTATTTCCCGGGACATACCGGACCCCCTAGGGTAGTGTTGTCGCTATTTTTCCCCACCCCCTTTCGAACATATTTATTTATTTATTTATTGAACATATTTATACAGGATAACATATCAGGAAGGTGTAATAGCCTGTTTTACATTGTCCTGTTTTGTGATACAAAATTACAGTATAAAAATCAACAAGTTTATTCTGTTTATTATTAAAATTGAAAATAGACTTAATAACAAATATGAATAAAAATCTTAATCTAAAACACATGAATTCATACAATTTTGATAAACTACATTGATGTTTTTTTTAACCTTACACATGGGTAAGTTAGTAAATGAAAGATAAAAGCTATTTTCGAAAAATTTTAATAGTAAAACTTAGTACTGGTACCGTAGTACTTCTACGTACAGTGGCGGCTACAAGACAGATTCAAGGGAAAAATCTGCCCGGCAATGGTCTGACAATTTTCTGACTGGCAGATTCACCAGACGTCTCAGGTTACGGTCATGGGTAAAGTCCTGGTCTGGTCTTGGGGGCTACAACATCTGGTCTCAGGAGAATTAAAACAGGGTGATTTTGGAAAATTATAAGCTGTTCTAAACGTTTTAAAAAGGTAATTGTTTTTGTTGTTTTTTTTTCGTCCGACGAGTCGTGGCCATTGGGATTGGGGGCATAGCCCTCGACCGACTAACAATTTACTGGCGGCGCATTGTTTAGGTTACTTGACAAGTCAGCTCGTCTGAGCGTAAAATTCTAACAGGGTTCCGACGCCGTAATAGCTGTTTAGCAAGAAGACGTTTTGAAACCATTTCACAGGAGACTAATAGGTGTGTTTGAGCGCTTCAGCTTGCTGTTTGAACGATTTAACTCGACTCAAGGGACATTATCACTAAGCCTACATTAAGGCTTGTAATTTTAAATGGTATGATAGCCTATATCATTATGAGTATCCACTCATGTTCAAATTAGAAGAATATTTATAGAATCATCCGAAAATTTTAAAGAGAGCGGTGGGCCACCATGCAATGTCTTTGTACCAGTAGTTAGCTGTTTAAGAACCATCTTCAATGCAAATAAATGTTTGCCCTGGTCTACTCACTCCAATCTTACTATTTGTGTGGGGGGGGGGGGGTAAGAAAAAAAACTTATGATATACAACATATGACATTAATAAATGAGCGTGTCTTCGTGCATGGTGTCTCCCAAAATACCAAAATGTATTATTTTAGTTTCTTTTATTTTTTAATATGTTTATGTTACCTTGCCTTCCCCCTGCTTATCATGGTAAGCGTGTGACCTATGTCGTAAGTACTGCTGTCTCATGAGGTTATTTGAGCGATTTCAATTGCGTCTAAAGTGTTCAGCTTCTCGAATAACCCTTCGGGAGCGTTAGGCGGGTTAAGGGCCATGTTTGCATCCGTGTGATCATCCATGTTGGTTGTAAGCCGGGTGGCGTTGCAATGTGGTTCCCGCGGGTTCCCATGGTCCAAATTTGCAATAGGCCTATCTAAATATAACTTAATAGGCCTATCCAAATGATAATTTAATTAAAATTGTTTTTTGGCATTCTAAAAAAGAACTCTTCCAATCCAGTATTTGTGGATGGCAGGAACTGGTGTTCTATGTTGGTGTTCCTTTTTATTCCTTTTCTTTTTCTTCTCACCTTTTTGTGGCAATTTTATTGGGTGTTTTTGCTTTATATTTTAAGATCTGCCTGTCTTTTGTCTTGTGCAATATTACACTATTTTTTTGCTCTTGGGTTGTTTTTATTATTGTTGTTTTATGGGTATTTTTATATTTTGTGCACATTTTATTGTGATTTTTTCTGGCTGATTGTTTGTTGTTATTTTTATTGTTTTTCTTGATGTAAACTTCAATGTAATTCTGTATTTTTTAATTTTTGTGTGCTTTTTTGTGTTTTTTTTTTGGCTGTTCGATTGTTCACTGGAATTTTATTGTATTTTATAATATTAACATCAATGTAATTAAGTTTTTTTTACTGCGATTTTGATTAATAAAAATACTTGAAATAACATATAAGCCTAGATTTAATGAGTTATTTTATGGACATGTGTGTGGGTGTATAAAAACGTTAAGGCAACCATGGTACAAATTATTTTTTAAACAATTTTTCTTCTCAAAAAACATATTTCAAAAGGTAGCTTAAGATAATTATTAATTGTTTACCTTCTTTGTTATTCAAAAGCAAAGTGACTGACCGGTTACAGGATGGAAGTACAGTAATACGGTATTCTACAAACAATCTCATTTTAACGAGAGGATTTGTTTGTAATCGTGAGACCTTCAGATTTGAAGGCAATATTCTAATTAACAAGTTTTGTATGGCTTAGCCCCACTCCTCCCTATATAGGACTATATTATGTATATATCTCCCTATAATATACATACAATATTATATGTACCGTATACAAGTTTGTGTGTGTAACTACATAGTTACACTTTTTTTTTTATAAGAACCAGTAAAATTTTGCCCAGGCTCAGTGTTCTTATTTTTTTGCCAATTTCAGGCTCAAAATGTTCTTATTTTGTTATTATTTTACACACTTTTCAAACATAAAAAATTATTATTGTACAGCATTATACACTGTACTGGGAGGTGAAAGCGACCCTGCAAAAATGACCCCTGAAAAAAAAGCCCAGCAAAAAATTGCCCCACAAAAAAGGCCCCGGTTGAAAAATGGCCCCAAATGGGAGGTAGGTACACTTACTGTACAGTATTATAGAGGGTATTACATAGTCACACCTACTGCACATAAGGTACAGATATAATAATTTTGGTTTTTCTAGTTTGACATTCTACCTCAGCCTCAATTTGTTCTTATTTTGTTCTTAATTTTCAAGCAATTTCAGCCTCAGTGTTCTTATAAAATGTGTTCTTATAAAAAAAAAAGTGTACATATACATATATTGCATACAGCATGTATGGATAGTGAATGGTCAATACGTTAATATTAACTTAATCGCACTTTATCCCGGCTGTTGACTGTCTTTCACTGCATGACGAGGCCGAGCAGATCTTGGCTAGTATCTGCGGACCGTCCTTCGCTAATAGAATAGGAAACTCATTCACGAATAGCCCCTGTAACTACAAATCGTTTATCCCATGGTTTATCCATACTGAAAGAAATCTTAAATGCCACAGATGATGGTGCATCCAACGTAACTTGTTACAAACGCACTATGATCAACATTGTTTCCAATGTGATGTTAATACCATTAATTTTAAGTTTTCTGGTACTTGTTACACTTTTTTTTTATAAGAACACATTTTATAAGAACACTGAGGCTGAAACTACTTAAAAATTAAGAACAAAATAAGAACAAATTAAGGCTGAGGTAAAATTTCAAATGAGGTTTATATTTTTAAAAACCAAAATATTATATCTGTCCATTATGTGCAGTAGGTGTGACTGTAATACCCTCTATAATACAGTACAGTAGGTGTACCTATCTGACATTGGGGGAAATTTTTTGTGGGGTCACTTTCACCTACATTCCAGTACAGTGCAGACTGCTTTACAATTAATAAAACAAAATAAGAACATTTTGAGCCTGAAATCGGCCAAAAAATAAGAACACTGAGCCTGGGCAAAATTTTTCTGGTTCTTATAAAAAAAAGTGTATTTGTTTAACTATTCTGTTGATTATATAATACTGTACATGCTAATAGGTTGAGTGTGACAATTATGGAATCGCTTAATTCGATTTTTCTATTGTAATTTTTGGTTATTGACAAATAAAAGATCATAATATGAGATTAAGTTATATACACTATGACACAGCACTGGGATTGTGGCGCATCGACAAGACAGTTTCCATCGCCGCCGCTGCTGCTAATGATGCTCTTGCTTACCATACCTCTGTGGCTGCTAACAGTCATAGCTGCCGCCTAAAACTCTACAGCGATTAAGTAATTGTTTGGGCTTTTTTTTTTTTTTGCAAAGTGAACTGGTGCAAGCCTAAAGTCCTAATCGTAGATAGTTCATCGTCTGCTGTCACTGTTTTGCGTTCGACCAGTATCATTCCATCTTCTTTCACCTCAAAGAGTTGTTATATGATTTGTATGGAGTTGCAGTGTGAAAGTTTGTTGCTACAGTTTTAACACTCTGATCGTGTCTTCGCGTCTCTATGTCACACTTCCACCAGCGGTTTGGCAACACAACACGTATTTCTAAGTTTCAAAGCAATATTTTCAATATGTAATTTTTAAAGTGACTTACCTGAGAACAAGAACGTAATCCATATAAAAGCAACGCGTTAAATATCCATGCATACCCGACCATCGTTATATCGACTCGGTGTTGAACCACTGATCTGAAATATTGGTTAAAACGTTCAGATCATATGGCTCCCTCAACGGTTGATAACTTTATGCTGAAGACATGATCTTAACGCAAGAGGGCATAGTTGTATAAAATTATTATAATGTTAATGTTTGACTTCGACTCATTTCGGCATCTCATACCATCCGATTGTTTCATAGTTTTCACGAGTGAACAAAACATAAGCTAGATGGAAGGATATAACTATGTATGTTCAAAATAAATGAAAAAATAATTTTGAATGATAATTAAGGCAATTAACACAAAAGGTTGTAATCAATACAACATCATAGACAGGTTTATTTATTCGAGTAATATTCTTGTGATTTATCCATTTGTTTATAGCATACATATTTAAACGTTTAATTTACATTTGAATTCATTATATTTTCGCACGTACCTGTAAATAACATTATACATACAGAAATATACATATTATGTTATGCGGCACACCACGTAAATAGTTCTGAGAACTGAGGCGTCGATATCAAACTCGACTTTTCGAATTGCTCTATTCGTCTTCAGGAAATTGAAAAATATATAACGCCATTTAAAAGACAAATAGAGTAATCTATTCGAAACGTAGAGATGCTCTCAACACATCAGTTATCAAATTTATTTAGCTTACGTGGTGTATTACACATTTATACTACTTTAAAAGGTATTATGACATAGGGCCCTATATGTTTTAAATTTTAATTGAGCCAAAGATTTCCAGTAGATGTACTGACAATGCCGTAGCCAGAATTTTCAAACAGTGCGGGACAATATCAGGATGAACCCACTTTACGCGTAAATTCAAATAATGTGGACCCACTTCCTTAAAAGTTTACTCATTTTAGGCTAAATATGAGAAATATGGACCCAATTTTCAAAAAGTGTACTCATTTATGCATAAAAATTCAAATTGTGTGGGAATGTCCCAACTGTCTTAATAGCTGGCTACGGCATTGGATACTGCTTTGTTTTTAGTAATATCATTCTACGTAGCATAACATCCCACACGCATCATTTTAAAATATTAAACACAACAAGTACTAAAACAGTAAACTGTGCATAATAAAGTCATACAGTATACTAAAATTTCAAAAATAAAATCATACATTAAAATACAGCTCAATAAACAAATATGACATCACCTCGTTCAACCGATGTGCCATGTAGATATTTGTAATTGTATATTCATTACCAAACAAGTCGCAAGGAGGTTCGTGTATGACATGGTGAACAATGTGTTTAGTGAGATGCACATATTCATCGGCGCATGTTATTGTGTAGCCAACGTGAGGAAAATCAGTTTACTTCTACCAATACAGCTGTATTCAAACATCGCTTAACTGTATATTGTTTGCTTTTCTTCGAAATGAGGAGGTTCTGCTGCCGTGATTTAGAAAATCATTGATTTGGATTGTGTACTGATTAGTGAGTTCATGCTTTTAGAACGTCAGTTAGCTGTATCATTAGGAACCTGTTTTTCTTTAAGGTGTTTGTCATTCGCTATTAAAGCGTGATGCGATGCTGGTTGAAGTATACTTTACTTCAGTGTGCATGCGCGTCATCACGAGACAGCCCATGCGTGCGAGTTTAAATGAAAGTTGCAATAGTGCGTATTTCCGAAAAGGTTAAGCTCTTCAACCTCGATATATTGAACTGTCTCCCAGTCTAAAACGTTATGAAGGTAAATAATATAGAAGTAATGGGAGACGTTGTCTGTACTATATAAACATTACTCTACCTTAACCTTCGGCCGCAGATAGCCGAGATGGACTTGACATTGCTCCAGGTGTTTCGCTCTGACATTACTTTGCCAAGATATTCTAGTGGTAGGCCGGTGTCACTCGTCATGGTAGGTAAGAGGGCGGCCACCAGTGCTTGTTTGGATACACCATAGAATTTAAAGATACATACATAAAGAGAAACGGAAATTATGTTAATTAAAAAGTTGGTTTCCAGTAAGTTCACATGGGGGCGCTATACAGTATCTATCCGAAGTTCAATTGAAACTGTCAATCTAAGTGGTTGAGGGATTTCGATGATGCAAATTAGGCTTGCTTACTTTTGATACATTCATCGCTTTACATGCTCTGTTTTCAAGTTATTCAATCGTTGAACACGACTTTGCAAAAGACGTGTGTATATATATGAACATGAAATATTAACTTCAATTGTATTTAAACTGGGTCACTCATAGACCCCGCAGTATTACGTCGGTTTTTACATGGTACGTGGAGATGCGTGACGAGTCGTTGATATACATTGTATCGTTGATGATGATGCATGTGACGTTGATAACGGTCAAGATTGGCGTGGACATAAACATCACTGGTAGGATAATGGTAATGAAGAATAACCACTTAATTTAGTGAAACGTGAGTCGCGGGGAAAATGTCAAATTCGTTTTCACTCACTTAGGGACAGCGTGGCATGTTAGACACAGCGTTGCGATGAAATCTGAAGGAAAAAACTAACGAGAGAGGATATTGGGGATAATCTCACATAATGCAAAGAATACGAGTAGGATAACTATATCTAAATATCATAACTACATTAAATGACACAAAATAATACTTTAATGTATTATTGAGAAGTGTAACATTAGGTATAGACAGAAACCTTCATTGAACGTATAATGACATGCCTTCGTTCGTTTTGTCACGAAAACATAAATGGCAAAGGGATTAAGCTGTCTATAACATAACACAAACTAAGGAGCTGTCAAAACTAGGCTATGTCATCGGTGGTTTTTATGCCTGTTTTCGTGGTGTTTGGGCAACTTTGAATGAAACCTACTGTAAGATGCAGATGTATTTCGGAGGAACATGCTGACGAATAGACTGTTCGTTAGAAATCATTCAAGACTAGTCGATGATTGCCAAACGCTCTTTTATTCGGTAGTCGATATAAAATAGCGCCCCCATTTTTTATTGACGAGCTGCTTTCGATATGATGAACTATTTGAATTATTGGATACAGGATCAGAGTAACGACGAATATATATATATATATATATACTGTCTCTTATACAGTCCAGTCGTTGCATCAAACACATATATAACCCATATTCAGCTCCCCGGGGAAGAAGTTCATAATACAGCAAATAATCAGCACATTACCAGGTACTTGAATCGCTTGAAATTGTTTAATTCAATTCATTCCTAGCCGTCAAACCCCTCAGGATTCCAAGGATAATTCACATAGGTCTTGCGGTAGGCTACGCCACTGAGCCGGCGTTCCATTACTGAACGTCTCGACTAATATGGCCACAAGACATTTTGAAGACAAATACAGTTAGTCTCATCGAAAATGATATAATCTTTTAATTTCTAGGCCTCTAATCCCTTACATGAGGTTTCGTGTTCAACATACTTAGTAATTCCGACACTTATAATTAAGCTTTACGTATAATACAGCAGATTAGCTAAGACATGTATAAGTATTGGTTAAAACCGGCGCAATTTATTATGACGTCATTCGACTAACGGTACACTCGTCACCTTCCGATACTGTTACTGGATTCGTTTTTCAATCAAAATCTGAGAAACAATGTCTCTTGATAATATTCAGACCAAACACGTCTAGCCAGTAATTCGAGCCTCTTTAATAAACACTGATGTCCATTTCTTCCTGTTTAGCTCATGCCTCGTGGCTAGGATGCTTTGTATGTGGAGAAATTAATATTTAAATTTTTTTTTAAATATTTATTGGTCAAGCAATATATTCGGTATAATATATCACTTTTTCATTACTTCAGGCAATTACATTAATGTCTACACTGACCATCAATTATTGGTAATTGAGCTGAGTTGATGGATAATTTACACCGTAAAAGGTCGTATCCTGTGACGTCACCCAGTCAGCGTTACGTCACTGCAGGGCATCTAAATCCGAAGTTCTAGACTGAATTTGAAATGTGAACAACATCCATGGGAATGTCCATGGCAACCGATTTCCATGGTGAACAATTTAGAAAATTCGGTCAAATTTGTAATAGCATCATTTATAGACAATGTCAACTACAGTCTTTAATTCACATTCACTCAAAATGGATAGATTATTTAATTAGTATTGAGAAAAAAAAAACCTGTGCGACGAAACTAGCTGCGCAACGAATACAACAACGAAAATTATAATAATTATTATGAAAGTTCTATTTATCGAGTCTATTCACGAGTTCATACTCTGTGGAACAACCACGTTGATTTAGTTATTATTAAAGTTGCTATAATATAATTATAAATTTTATATTACATGTACTATTATTATTATTCAATTTTATTAGTATTATATTTTTATTTACTGAAAGACCTAATGTATTTTACGATAAAAGAACTTAACAGCGACGTTCCGATATGTACGGTACCAAAATTGACGTTTCCGCCAAGCCCCGCTCTTCTTGCTAAGGTTCCACAAAATGACAGTGTAAATTAAAAAAGATTTAAAAAAAAAACCGTCACATAAAATGTGATGGAAAATAAGAGTTGAACATGTTCAACTTTTTTTGATACAATTTGATAGTATGTGATATGACGTCATCGTACCCATATATGGGCACATCACATTTTTTTGTCACATAAAATTTGATAGTGTAGACAAAGCTTTAAGACACGTGCGTTCGTAGGACAATACGTGTGCTTGTTAGACGCGCGTGTAGTCCAAGCCTGTTCATTGGTCAGTTGTTAAGTTTGATCGACACCCTTGAAAGATCCGTTGGATATCGTGTCTATAACATTGTGCCCAATGTAATCAGTGATTTTCAAACAAAAGACAAGAAAAATGTAACAGTAAACAACTCACCGAACAAATCCCATGACTTATTTTACGGAGGATTTTCGTAACGATAAGTCAATGTTCATTTCATTTGAAGTTTGCAATAGCTATGGGGAAGGTTACATCATGCATGTCATATAAGCGGCTATCGGCAAACGGATGACTGATAGCATGCTTGTATCAAATTCTGATACTATTTTAAATATAATGGACTGTTATTGGGTTAATGTGAAACATTATGATACTGCTGCGTGTGTACGTTCTTTAAAAATTCATGTGATGCCAATGTCGGGAAAGGGCGACCTCTACCAGCAGTGGTGCTCCGACTTTAATTGAGAACAATACATTGACATTGAGAGCTATGTTTTCTACATGCAGTGAGCTTGCCGACAGCCGACCATGCAGAAGTAACCAGTGATGTGTATTGGGCCGGTAACAAGTTCAATTGATATGGATTTACAAATACTTTACATGTTTTCGAGCTGTGTCACTAAATTTGTATTTATCGAAAGCTTAGTAGCCCTAAATAGTTTCTGCAAAAGAGCGTCTCCATAACATTTAACTACGTAGTGTAAAATTCGTTGAAGATTTAGCCGTCAACAATTGGAGAATGAATTATTTTCAGGGCACTAACAAGTAGTCACTCGATCATAGCCCTTGCTGACTTACGGACGCACTTCGGAAGTTTGAAAATATTCAGTACGATCTACTGGTTAATGATGACTTACGAAACATAAAACCGACAAAAACATTTTGATCGTCGAAGTTCGAGTCGACTTTGACAAGTCTGTTGGTATGGATCTTAATGTATCAACAATTTTCTATGAGAATATTAATAATACAATGACTTGGAATGATAATAATCTGGAATACAGTGTAGATAATTGCACTTATGGATTAATTAGCTTTGAACCAACGAATATCACTTCACAGAATGGGTTTCAGAAGCGTTACACCAGCTTTGCATACGTTGTACTGTCGTTGTTAATAATATGGACATTCTTTGGAAATACGTTAGTTTTGATGGCCGTGAGTCGAGAACGGGGACTGAAATCTATGTCAAACTATGTGATTGCGTCGTTAGCTTTAGCGGACTTGCTGCTGTCTGTTCTGGTGATGCCAATTGGTCTAATTAATTTGGTAAGTATAAACGTCATGACGGTATTTTTAAATCCAAGCACGATATTTTGGACGATTTCTTGATCGATTACTGTTTACAACAGGCGAGTTGACGAACAAAACAAGACTCAATGTACCTTATACTAAATAGCCCACATTCACATTACAAGTTAAATTATCTTACGAGATATATTTTTGTTTGGCTCAAATTAAATAATTAGTTACATATGGTTGGATGTCACACAGCGCGCGTAGCTTCGGTTTAGTTTTAGTGAAGGCATGATGCAGCGACAAATTGTGAAAGATCTGAGATTCAATATAGTTCAATAATAAAGATAATGCCCATGGCATTTGCTACCCTCCACACCATCACATTAAAAAAATCCTAATTAAGGGTTTTCATTATTTTTTGTTGGGAGGAGGAGTGGCTATACGTACTGTACCTTTACTCTACTGCTAATGCCACTACTATTGCTTCTACCACCACTACTTACTATTAACAATACTAAGACTTACATAAATATTAGGCCAAAAATTACAATATATAAATGCATTGGCACATAGATGAAAATTGTATATAGTCCTACACACCAATTTATATGGACCACCATAAACTTGGTGTATATTTTTTAAGAATTGAATAGGATGGCTGTCGATCGATCAAGTCAAGGTAACGCTTTAATTGTCCTTCAGGTTCGAGATTGTTAAATTCTTCGGGTTCGATAGTCAACAAAATACTAGCATACACATGTCTGAGTACCATAGTACAATGTAACCTGTCTAACAAATTACAAAAAGAACGCTAGAATAAATTCTATTTGCAACTAAATATAGAAGTCTACTTAAAAAGTTTGTATAAATTACGCAACCCATCGTGCTCATGCTGTAATCGATCAGGAATTCTATAATGTAGGCCTACTGCAAAAATAAAACAGTGAAACATACAAATACAGTTGGCAGAGAGCTCAGTGGTAAACGATATGAAATAATTAATTACAAATGAAAGTGAGATCTCGTTTTTGTCGTCTAAGGCCCAATAAAGAATGATTAGTTTATCATCCCCGCCCGCATGTCTGGCCTATATAGTATTAGAGGGAAAAAAGAAAAACAACTTTTTAAAAACAACTGATTTTTTTTATTTTTTTTTTTATTTCTATTAAATCTCAATCATGTAATTTTACTAAATAATAGGGTGCTTTCGATTACACGTTATTACGATTGAACATAATGACGTCACTAAAAGTCATCTGCGCATGCGAGAACGTTAAGTTCTCGTCGCGTGGATTCTAAGACGCCTCCCTCCCCCATCAATTTTCCAGCCTAGAATGTTTAAGATGAGGGCGTATCTTTCTCATCTTTTTTATTTTCAGTGTTTTTAAAACTAGCGTTGTTGCACGCACGTGCAAAAAAGTGTGATAGGTTGCTGCAAACGAATACTGTTTGCCAAGATTTATATTGTTAATACTAAAATGAATTGGCCTATAGTTTAGACCTAGGTTTATTGCAGGTTTCGTTGCTGCCACATTACTGTTCACTTTGAGTACAAACAGAAGACAAACGGCCGCTAAATTAATATTTGTATATGCAGGTAAATTACAGAATCTAGGCACGGGTGTACAATATAAAGATTGGCGGTTGTAATAATGTCATGGATCGAAATGGATTGCTTTAAAGCGGCTTGGTTAATTTTACAAAATCAATATTCTTCCGATGTCCGCCAAATCCTAGTGGATCCAGGAGTGGCAAAATGGGCGCTAACCAGGCAGCTGCCAAGAATCAGTAGCCAAGACGTCTGAAATCAGTTAGGTTTCGCTCTCTTCGGCCTAGATCATCGATGCCATAAAAAATCTGGATCCGCCATTCAACCCTCACCTGTCATGGCCTCTTTACTAGAATTTTCATGTTATTTTTGGGAGATCAAAGAAGAAACTAGGCCTCCTTTATTTTTATAAAAGACAGTTTCCACATGGAACACCAGGCCATAATCTAGTAAAATAGATGAATAATTACTTGGAAGTGGTCCCTCTCCTATTTCAAAGCTCATGTTCGCTCCAACCAAGGAGGTATTGCTTCCTACTAACTTCCTTCATTTTACTATAAATTTATTTGGTATTTTCATCCTGACCTTGAAGAGTTGCTTGCTCTCGAATTTAAAAACAAAATGTTCATGGATAATCTATGCTGTGAAGTCGAATTTAATGGCATATTGATGATCTTTTGTTTTTGTCCATATAATTCTGACCCCCAACCAAGGCTGTGAGAATCATTATTATGTAAGAGGAACAAAGGGTTTGAAACACCTCCACCCCAAAATTACCTTCGTGTTCTCGTGAAGGTCTGCATTCGGCGGTTCTTCAAGTACCGTAATGCGCCAATGATCGTGGTAACATGTGGCTCACCCATAATTTTACGTCATAATTTCGTGTGACGGAGCGGAGGAAGCGTTCTCTGTATTATTAATAAGGATGTATCACGACTTAACTCATTATATACAATTAAAGCACTAAGAAGCATAGAAGTATTTTATTGCAATTATGCGTTATATAAACGGCACATTTTTATTATACAGTTAACCCTATTATATTCGTCATGCCTAGATGTATACAAAATTGAAACAAAATTTAAATGTTCAGATTGGAAAGCTTTTCGATGAATCGATTAGAAAATCGGATCAGTATGTACGAAAGGGACGGTGACGTTCAATGGTCAATGGTCAAATATTTATAGCGCCTTCCACAGAGAAAAACCGTCTCAAGGCGCTTTTAAGCCACAAGAAATAAAACAAAAATTTAATTAATAAACAGGTGCGAACGCGAAGGGGGCGGGAGACTGCGCACCCCCTATTTTGAGATAGCGTCGCCATCTACCGTGTACACGCAGGTACCTCGGCGTCAGTTTGCTGGGCTCCGGTAGCTTCCACCGAGGATAAACCACCACGGCTTCCCTACCGTGCACTGCTAAGTTGGCGGCAATTGAGACGGTTTTTCACTGTGAAAGGCGCTATTTATATATTTGACCATGACCATTCAACGTCACCGTATCTTTCATGCATACTGATCCGATTTTCTAATCGATTCATCGAAAGGCTTTCCCATCTGAACGCGGTCCGTATTTCGGTTCTGATCACATGTGAATGCAGCTTAACGAAGGCGAAAAGCAAAACAAAAATGATGGTAGAGTAGTTCCTATAGATTAATTCATAATTGTGCTGACCCCTGATTAGTACTCCATGTTCGAGGACAAACAACAAATGAACTGTTAGGCCTGGCGACTCAAAATGCAGTGTATTATAGTTAGTCTATTGTGTCGTGTCATTGCAGTGAATTTGATGATTGCGATCATCTTTAGCGAAATCGTAATACGACACCAATAAATACTAGCAATTAATAGTAAAGGTCTCGATACATGATACATATTTGGTTTGGCTGTTAGATATTATGCATTTCAATAGCATGCAGTTTATATGGTAAACTAGGCCAAAGTGCAATGTCATTGTTGAAAAATATGCATTTGAAAAAAAGTCATCCGCTCTATGGGGAAAAAATGTGATGCCGATTGATAGATAGGCTGTACCATTTGTCTTTCTAAAAAATGTTGCACTATATCAATCAATTACTTAATCAATATTCTAATATCTGTTCTTTTAAGTGGTTGCCACAAATTAAGGACCTAATTCATTTCGAGTCCGCATATATCTTTCTACGTCTGTTGGAAATTAAACTTCTATAACTCGCATGTTCGCGGGAAAACGCTAACGTGTCTGGATTGGATTGGGGTTTTTTTCGGTGTAAACACCAAGGATAGCCCAAGAAAGTCTAGAAGCTTCTTCTGGTTGTGATTATGCAGTATACTGGATGCTGTCTCTTTTTTTAATGTGTGTTTACTTTTTAAATACTTTGGGTGTTTATAATTTACACATATCTAGTGTTTATAATTTAAACACATGTGTTTAAAATTTAAACAGTGTAAATGTTATAAAACTAAACATCCTGAATGTTTTTTTATTAAACATGTTCATTAAATAAATGCCATCACATGTTTAAAAACTGTCACAGATATGTGTTTATTCATGTGTTTAAATCTTAAACACTTCTTTTTACAGTGTGGGAATTGAACCGGGGACCTAGAGATCAGTGCACAAACAGTGGCTTAACACCAGATTAGCCGACTGAGCTAAGCTGCTGATTGGTTGGGACAGAGTGACATCGACTATAAAATGGGCTCACGTTTACGGGCTAGCGCCAAGTACTAAGAGTATCTATAATGTCATGTCATAGTATTTTTTTTATGTTCGCTTAATAAATTTTGTCATTAAAATTGTATCGTGAATGCTCTTGTTTCAGGATCAAATGCATTGGCGAATGTACTAAATGTTTCCCAATTACACGTACAATTTGTAAATTATGAAACATGATATTTTATGTCAAAACAGAAGTAGTCGCTTTCAATTTCTAATCGTATTCAACACTCAAAATCATTTAGCTACAACGCAATTGCAATGTACAAGTAGAGTATTTAGCTGATATTACTATGTATGTTTTTTCTTGAAATTTAATACAAATGGAACTTTAGAAAGGACACATGGGTAAAAAGAAGCGATGTAAATCAAACTGCTCTCTCCGCTATATAAAGCTGTAGGCTCTGTCGAGTGCCAACAGTTTCAAATTAAGTTTCACGAGTGACCATCTGGCAACGAGCTAATAATGCCCTTGGGGGACGGGCCTACCCTTTTCAAGTCTTATAAATTCAAGCACCACTTGACAATCACAGATTTAAGAAATGTTCAATTAAAAAATAACGAAACGTATTAATGTTCACATATTATTAGTTTATTAATCGGCTTAAAAATAGTAATAATAATGATCATCATAATAATGATAATGATACTGATGATGTGGGGTTGATGATGAAGTTGATGATAATGATGATGATGATGATGATGATGATGATGAGGAGGAGGAGGAGGGGCTCCATTATTATGTGAGTGGAAGCTAGCTCGTAAAATAAGGTGCTAAGTGATT